GGGTTTAGGGGTTTAGGGTTTCGACGTTCCGCCTGCAGCTGCGAGGCTCCGTAGGGTTTGCTGTGTCTCGCACGCAGCAGGAGAGGCTACACGTGCATAGGGTTTCGGGCTTAGGGTTTGGGGTTTAGGGTTTGAAACCGGAATCCCTGAAAAAGGAAACCCCAAAATGTTTTGGCCCAGAATCTCGACGAGGGAGTTCGCCTCCTCGTCGCTCAGCCACATCGAAGCGCGATCCAAAATTCCATTGTAACGAGTTACAGCCCACGCGCAGACAGCCTGCGCCCGCAAGTCGGGCAGATCCAGGTCCTTGAAAATTCTTCTAGGGCTTCGCAGCGCTTGCACTGTTATTATAAAGGCTGGTTTTGCGTCTGGGGGCTTTAGGTTTTGCAGGGCTTATAATGGGGTGATTGGCTACAATTAAGGGTACCAAAAATTCAGGGCCAGAACCCATGCACAAGAACTTGAAATCACACGGCTCGAAGAAAATAGGAGGCGACATACTATAGACCGCTCGCGAGGAACGCGAAGGCGCTCTGCCAAGTACGACATCCTTAGGCCAGGGTTGAGATAGTATGATTAGGTTCTATATATAAACTTAAACCTCTCCTCAAGATTCGGGTCTGGAGACACTGACCATAATGTAGTCGTGGAAAAGCCGAGATGCATCACACGGTTTGCATAGGCTTTTCCAAATCCCACTGGAAAATCCAAACTGACAGCCTCGACGGACAACTTCAAGAGACCTCGGCTTCAAGCAAAACACGGGAACCTTAGACTGCAAAGCAACTCTACAGTGACAAAGCAGACCAGGATGCTGATTGTTTCGATCGTGGAGGGTCGTATCCCATTTTGCACGCACCAGTGGCGCACATCTGCAGTCAAAGTTTCCAGGCGTTCATCCCAGGTCGGCAAATGCTGTAGCGCCGGCCACTTTGCCACGAGATCCAATATAATGGACGCCACGCAATCTCGGGCTGTTCCCAGCCATAGGGCATGTAAAATGTCCGCGCATTCGCTCAAAGGGCTGAAGCCGCGGACACTGCGAAGCCTGCAGCCAACATCCGAAAGCGATCTCGCTAGGACCCGAGGGTGTGACAGTATCAGCATTAAATTGACAAAACCTTAAAGGAAAGTTACCAAACTTTGCAGCTGTGGGGCCAAATGTCCCCCACACCTGCGAATCGATCTTGACTATAGACTAGAAGTTTCACACGGCTCTACAATGGAAGCTACGGCAACTTAGTGAAGACGCATGTCCAAGATGCGTGTCTGGGCCGCTGCCGCGAGATCTGCATCATTGTTGAAGCGTTCTCTGCAAGGATCGAGCCAGGGTTTGTCAGAGTTCGGCCTGGCAGAGGCCAGGCATCTTGGGCATATCAAATCGGAACTGTTGTAATGTCGATCCATAGCAAGCCACTCCCGACGGAATTTCCAGTCGCCCTTATGCACCACCAGATGCATAGACCAGCCGTCCGTAGCCTCATCGCCCGGCAAGTTGCATCTGTTGAGGCTCATTGCAAGGCATTCTTGCAGCTTCTCCAATGTCACGTTTCGCCCGTCTTTGTAGGCGAAGAAATCGGATTTCATGACCTACGCAAATGAAACATAGCGAGGATGGGTCTTCGAGCCTTAAGCAACCATCCACTGCAAAATCAGCCGAGTTGCGCAGAAGGGATACTTCGACATCATGGCCGCAGTGTGCACTGCTAGAGGTGCCCAGCTGAGAACCATTACGCTCTTGGAGCGTTTGCCGGTCCCCTCATCCCCATGTAAGGAGATCGCGATCGCCTTCCGTCTGCTTTCTTCAGGCCAGGACTGCACTGGATGGGACCTAGGGATGACAGTGGGATGCTTCACAATTAAGCTATCTTCCTGAAACTTGCAAGAGCACGGAATAGCGAATACATCTCAGTTGTTGCCGACAAGGTGCGCTCCCCAATCCTCAGATCGGGCTTGGTGCCAGAATTGGCACCAATCAACATCTCCACTCCTCAGCTCGCCGAAAAAGCTATAAAGAATTCAAGTAGGAGCTTGTGCACGGCGAGCGTCAAGCGGTCCACCATGCCGGCACGCACAATGTTTTGAAACATCTGGTGTGGGAGATACACTGGCCAGTTCGCGCGCACAGGAGGTGTTTCTTTGGCATTTCTAGATTTTTTTTTTGGCGCAGCAACACGTGTTGTGGCTTTCGCCTTCGCCTGGCGACCACGGAAGCTCCTAGAGCGGCGCGCTTGCCCCAGCAATCTCTGGACTGTCTTCACGTCCTTGACCAGCACAGGCGCCCCGCCGAGGGGACACTGCAAAGCAACCTCGTTTGGCTTTAAGCGATGATGCGGCCTATTTGTGCAAACCCGTTTTGAGCAACAACCGGCAAAGTTTCACAACAACACGAGAAAACAGCTGAGCTACGTCCCGGCTTCTGTCCATTGCCCTGTG